CCCTGGAGCACATACACCTAGCTGTCCTTGGGAGCACGACCGACTGGCTCCCATCTCATCAGAAGTGCACTCGCATCGTGATCTGGGGTGTCCTCCCGCCCTCTAGGGGGAGCTGGCCCTCCCAGTCCCGGCGCTGCCTTGCTGAGCCCCCGGACCCCGAGTTCCCTGAGCAGGCTTATTCGGAGAGCACCGTCCCTGCAGCTTCCTCCCACTCGTCGTAAATCCAAGCCCCTCACACTTGTTCCCAGCTTTTAAACCGCACAGGTCTTCCTTCATCGAGCCAGGTCGGGAGGGAGGCTGAGGGGCTGATTCTGGAAGCCTGTTTTCCTTGGTCTGATGCCTGGGAGTGGACGTCTCTGAGGCAGCTAGGGCAAGAGATTGTCACTTGACGATGAGCTGGCCTGGTGTAAGGAGAATCCCGTCGGGAGCAGAGGGTCATGCTCGGTGTGGGGAGCGCGGAGCCCTTCTCCGCCCCACCAGCTTCCTAGCCCTGCCAGCTCAGAGCCCTCTTCCCAATGAAAAGACCCTCTTCACGGTGCACTCAGTCCCAGCAAACCAGGAGCGCATTAAACGGAGCAGCAGCAGGAGGCCTGGCATGAAGTGAAGCTCTGGGGAAAGAGAACTGGAAGTGTGTTCTGATGGACGGTTTGGGAGGCTGAGAAAATCTACAGAGCCTGGAACATCGAGCTGAGTGTTCCCGGTCTGTTCAGTTCAGGGCACTTCTTCACATGTCATTACAGGGAGCCTTGGGCCCCCGCCTAAGACCCACTGGGAAATCTTCTGTCCTCCTGGCTCTTCAAGATCCAGAGATGGATAACATGCGGCTGAGTCATCTCCCCCGGGACTTACAGGGACCAGCAACTGTCTTGAGCCAACGCAGCACCAGCAGCAAAGCCAGCTGCTGCACTGCTTCCAGGGCGGGGGCGGGGGCTTTCACTGTCTCCGTCACTAGTGTGTCTTCTAATTGAAGCGTCTGCATGAAGCAGTATTTAATGAGCACGATGGGGGTGCCATCCTTTACCTTGACCTGATAAACTCATTTCTTTGCCTCATTATTTCAAACTCTGCTTGAGCACAGTTTCCCTGGTCGCATTTCTTATGGATCCCAGGAGATAAAGGCTACGTTTCAAATGCTGGGGCTAAATCACTCCTTGAATTACTTTGAGACAATGGCCCTGGGCCGTAATTCAAGCCCCGGCAGAAATGTGGGCAGTCCTTTCACATGTTCAAAACTGAAGACCACCTTCTCCAGAAGAGGTTTGCACACATCCTATCCAGCCTGCGGTCTAAGACATAAATCTCCAGGAGCAGGAATATGATAGAAAATTCTCTTCCTTATGGTTCAGGAAAATATGATAAAGGGTCATTGTTATAACCAATGGAGATTATAGACTAGAGCTTTCTTTAAAAATAAAAAATGCAACCGTAAAGTCTGTAATATATGTCCATAGGCATTTTCAGAAGTTAGTTACTTATACTCAGTTTGTTTTCGTTATTCACTGTTTCTCGACAAATGATTATGAATTGTCACCGCCAGCTCCTGAAGCCCCGCCAGGGAAGGGAAAGGCCAGCGGTGTTTTCAGCTGTGACCTGCTGAAGCCCAGGCTGGTGTCTGGGGGCATGACTCCACATGTGAAAGAAACAGCATCTCCTTCTCAAAGCACAGGTTTTGTGTGTGTGTGTGTGTGTGGTGTGTGG